AAAAAAAGAAGAAGAAGAAGTAGTAGACTCCAGTGCCAGCCAAGATGGAGCATTCTCCTATAGCTTATCTCTATTGCTGGTTATAACTAAACACTCCAGAATAAATATAAAAAGCAACTACCTGTGCACTCTGAAAAGTAAACAAATGCAGAATGAAACTTGGAGAAAGGGGCCCACATGGGAGTGAGTTTTCTTTGTGTGTGTGTGTGTGTGTGTGTGTGAGAGAGAGAGAGAGAGAGAGAGAGAGATCTGAGGGTAGGCACACAGTGAGCTGTGGCAGTGCGGTGTGGATAGCTAAAACTCCCAGAGAAACCCTGTCTGTGTAGATCAAGGAACTCAGAAAATGAGTCTCTGGGTTTCAGAGTTGTAAGGGAGAAGTGTCCATTTTTTCCCTCTCTCTTGCTGGGGCAGTGGCATGGGCAACTAACCCTCCTTAAGAAGCCCCATCGCCGGGCGAGGTGGCTCAAGCCTGTAATCCCAGCACTTTGGGAGGCCGAGGCGGGTGGATCACGAGGTCAAGAGATCGAGACCGTCCTGGTCAATATGGTGAAACCCCGCCTCTACTAAAAATAAAAAAAAAAAAAAAGTAGCTGGGCATGGTGGCACATGCCTGTAATCCGAGCTACTTAGGAGGCTGAGGCAGGAGAATTGCCTGAACCCAGGAGGCGGAGGTTGCGGTAAGCCGAGATCGCGCCATTGCACTCCAGCCTGGGTAACAAGAGCGAAACTCCGTCTCGAAAAAAAAAAAAAGAAGCCCCATCATTCTGGCTCTAGGACAGAGGCAAGAAGTTGAGAAGAAGCCCATCAAGGAGACCTAGAGAAGGGTTCTCCTACTTCTGTGCGTGAACAAGCATCTGTCCAGGGCTCCTTCCTGAGGTGCATATACAAAGAACACCCCAAAACGGCACAGCAAAAGCCTAAAAAACTGAACAACAACAACAAAAGGTGCAAGTCCAAGTCTAACCCCCAAAGGGCATAGATAGATGTAAGATGATGTAAAGCGGCACAGGATAGACTCTGAAAACTGTCTTGACATTGGAATTCACAGGGAGAAAAAAAGGCAAGACAGACCTTGCAGTCTTAATTCAACCAGGATGATCGACTGCTGAAACAACTAAAATCAGCATTCGCTGGAGAACTTTAATAGGACCCAAGAGAGTCACAAAGGAATATTGTTCAGGATACAAATTGGTATTATTCAACATACAAAGAGTCATGAAAGAGTGACCATTCTCAAAAAGATAATCAACAGATATCAATGCCAAGATGACAAAATTATCAAATACTTTAAGACAGCTATTATCATCATGTTCTATAAGGTAAAAGTGAACACGCTTGAAGTAAATGTTAAGATGTAAGTTCTCAACGGAAGAAAAACTTATAAAAAGGAACCAAACAAAAGGTTTACAACTGAAAAATATATCTGAAATAAAAGATTTCACTAGATGGTTATCAATAATAGAATAAAGATTACCAATAGAGGAAAGAGTCAGTGAAGATGGATCAAGAGAAATTGTCCAGGACGGGCACAGTGGCTCACGCCTATAATCTAAACACTCTGGGAGGCCAAGGCACACAGATCACCTGAGGTCAGGAGTTCGAGACCAGCCTGGTCAACAGGGTGAAACCCTGTCTCTACTAAAAATACAAAAATTAGAGGAGCCTGGTGGCGGGTGCCTGTAATCCCAGTTACTCGAGAGGCTGAGGCAGGAGAATCACTTGAACCCAACAGGCAGAGGTTGCAGTGAGCCAAGATAACGCCATTGCACTCCAGCCTGAGTGACAAGAGCAAAACTCTATCTCATAAAAAAAAAAAAGAGAGAGAGAGAGAAATTATCCAATCTGAAGAATAGAGAAAAACAGATTAAAAAGAAAATGAACAGAGAGCCTCAGGAACACGTGGGGCAATATTAGATGGCCTAACATTTACATCATTGGACTTCTAGAAGGAGAGGCTTATTTGTTTCCTGTAAATGCTGTACTAAATGATCACAGACTTAGTGGCTGAAAACAACAGAAATTTATTCTCGCACATTTCTACAGGCCAGAAGTTTAAAATTAAAGTGTTGGCAGGGCTGCATTCCCTCTGGAGGCTATAGGGGAGGATATGTTCCCTGCCTTCTTTGAGCTTCCAGCAGCTGTCAGCATTCCTTGGCTTATGGCCATCTCTCTGTTCCATCTTCACATGGCTTTCTCCTCTGTGTCTCTGTTGCCTCTTTTGCCTCCTTCCTATAAGGATGCTTGGGATGGTATTCAGAACCTGCCTGAAAAATCCAAGGTAACTGACTACACTCAAAATCCTTAATTATATCAGCAAAAACCCTTTTTCCAAATATTTTCAGGAATTAAAACTTGACATCTTTGGGTGGCTATTATTCAGCCTACAACAGAGACACGTGCAGAAAAAAAAATACATTACACGTAGGAGAACAATGATTTGAGTGACTGTGGATTTCTTATTAGAAACCTTGAGGAAGCCAGGCGCAGTGGCTCACGCCTGTAATCCCAGCACTCTGGGAGGCCAAGGCGGGTGGATCACGAGGTCAAGAAATCGAGACCATCCTGGTCAACATAGTGAAACTCCGTCTCTACTAAAAATACAAAAAATTAGCTGGGCATGGTGGTGCGTGCCTATCATCCCAGCTACTCAGGAGGCTGAGGCAGGAGAATCGCCTGAACCCAGGAGGCGGAGGTTGCGGTGAGCCGAGATCGCGCCATTGCACTCCAGCCTGGGGTAACAAGAGCGAAACTCCGTCTCAAAAAAAAAAAAGAAAAAAAAAAGAAACCTTGAAGAGTAGAAAGAGTGGAATATCTTTTTTTTTTTTTTTTTTTTTTTTTTTTTTTTTTTTTTAATTGAGACTGAGTCTTGCTCTGTCACTCAGGCTGGAGTACAGTGGTGTGATCTCAACTCACTGCAACCTCTGCCTCCTGGGTTCAAGCAATTCTCCCACCTCAGCCTCCAGAGTAGCTGGGACTACAGGTGCATGCCACCATGCCTGGCTAATTTTCTTATTTTTAGTAGAGATGGGGTTTTGCCGTGTTAGCCAGGCTGGTCTCAAACTCCTGACCTCAAGTGATCCACCCACCTCCACCTCCCAAAGTGCTGGGGTTATAGGCGTGAGCCACCACGCCCAGACTGGAATATCTTTAAACTGCTAAAACAAATTGTCTACCCAGAATTAGATATCAATGAAAATAAACAGTGGACAGGCACAGCAGCTTGTGCCTGTAATGAAAGATATCAATGAAAATATCCTTCATAGGCCGGGCGTGGTGGCTCACACCTGTAATCCAAGCACTTTGGAGGCCAAGGTGGGCGGATCACCTGAGGTCAGGAGTTCAAGATCAGCCTGACCAACATGGTGAAACCCCGTCTTTAAAAAAAATAAAAATAAATTTTTGATTACATAGTTTAAAATTTCCCCACGATATGGCAATGTTGGACAGGCTGGTCTCAAACTCCTGGCCTCAAGTGATCCTCCTGCCTCAGCTCCCAAAGCACTGGATTACAGGTGTGAGCCACCACTCCAGGCCTAAACTTAGTTTTCTTAATAACCTTTTATTTTTAGAACACTTTCAGATGAACAGAATTCTTTTATTTATTTACTTTTTCTTTTTTCTTTTCTTTTCTTTTTTTTTTTTGAGAGTCTTGCTCTGTCACTTAGGCTAGAGCGCAGTGGTGCGATCACGGTTCACCACAACCTCCACTTCCCGGGTTCAAGTGATTCTCCTGCCTCAGCCTCCCGACTAGCTGGTATTACAGGCGCCCACCACCACCACACCCGGCTAATTTTTGTGTTTTTAGTAAAGACGGGGTGACCACGTTGGCCAGGTTGGTCTCAAACTCCTGACCTCAGGGGATCCGCCCGCCTCAGTCTCCCAAAGTGCTGGGATTACAGGCGTGAGCCACTGCACTTGGACCTAATTTTTGTATTTTCAACAGAGATGGGGTTTCACTATATTGGTCAGGCTGGTCTCGAACTCCTGACCTCAGGTGATCCGCCCACCTCAGCCTCTCAGAGTGCTGCGATTACAAGCGTGAGCCACCACGCCCGGGTTTTTTGTTTTGTTTTTGTTTTTTTTCTGAGACAGAGTCTCTCTGTCGCTGGGGCTGGAGTGCAGTGGCGCCATCTCGGCTCACTGAAACCTCCGCCTCCCAGGTTCAAGCGATGCTCCCGCCTCCGCCTCCCGAGTGGCTGGGATTACAGGCACGCGCCACCACGCCCGGCTAATTTTTGTCTTTTCGGTATTGACGGGCTTTCACCACGCTGGCCAGGCTGGTCTCTAACTCCTGGGCTCAAGTGATCCACCCGCCTCGGCCTCCCAAAGTGCCGGGATGACTGGAGGGATGGCCGCGCCCGACCTCAACTTCGTTTTCTGACTGACGTTTCCATTTAGAACACTTTTAGAGAAACAGAACTCTTCTGAGCGCAGTCGAATCCTCCGTACCCCACACGAGGCAGGTTTTTCAACTCCAATTTCCACTTCCACCCCACGCAGGCTCTTTCTCGCCTCTGACCTCGGGTTCTGGCAGGACCGGGAGGAAAGCTCAGCTCAGACCAAACGTCATCGCTCAGACACACCTGGGTCAAGCGTCAGGCTCGCGGAAACCCGAGTCCGGAAACCCTAACGCTCTGGCCCCACCCGGCCCCGCTCCTCCAGAGACCTGCAGAGCCCTGGCCGACTTGGCGGCTCCAGCTTCGGCCTCAGGGGGCGAGAAGCGAGGCTCTCGCCCAAGCCCCTCCTCCAGGGGCAGGTTCTTGAAGCCGGAACATTTGTGACCTCAAAACGCCCAGGATCTCGGAGGCGCGTGCCGGATGCCACATAAATGCACAACACGTAACAACGACTTATCGTTCCGCGCCCGGCCTCGCAGCCCACAGTCCGCCGCCGCCGCGAGCTCCTCTCAGCGCGGCGCGGGGGCGGGGCTAGCGGCGGCGCGGGGCGGGGCTAGCGGCGGCGCGGGGCGGGGCTAGCGGCGGCGCGGGGGCGGGGCTAGCGGCGGCGCGGGGGCGGGGCGCGCGCTCGTGAGAACGTCCGGGGAGCGCGCGCGCCGACGCCGACGCCGCCGGGCGAGCGGAGCTGGAGTTGCAGCCTGTGGGTTTGCGGTTGATGGCTCCCACCGAAGGGCTGGCGGCGGCGTCTGCCGCTGTTGCTGCTGTTGCTGCCGAGACCTCCGTCGGCTTCTGGTCATGAGAGGTCAGGCCTGGGGGAAGCGGGCAGAGGAGGAGGCGGCGAGGGGCGGCTGGGGGCTCGGGGGAGAATAAATGAGGCGCTCGAGGCTCGGACGTGGGTGGAGAACTCTGCCCGCGGAGATGCCGGAAGAGTTGTGTCGACTTTTCTTCCTTTTTCGCCTCCTTTCTTGTCTGTGCATGAAGGAAAGTGGGAGGGTTCTATGTTATTTATAGAAAAGACACGGAAACCCTGCTGTCCAACGTTGCTCTCAAAAAGAGTTTTGACGACATAACGCCCGTGGCGTCGGGGCCTCGGGGAAAGCCTTTAATGAAAAGCACGGAAACCCAAACCGCCAGGCTCGGGGACTGCAGCTCTGCTCCGTTCTGGCAGTGAAATAGAATGACACGGAACGTTCCCTGACGTTCACTCGCGCTTCCTCCTGGAGAAGCGGGACAGGCACGGCAGTGTGGGGTAGGCTGTGCGTTTCGTCAGCTGGGATTCCGAGTCGGTGCTTCTGGCCCTAGGTCCACACGGATCATGTGCGGGAGCTCTTTCCCTGCCGGGGTCCTCTTACCTCACACCCCTCCCCCCGTAACACACACGCCACCGACGGTGGCATTTTATCGAGCTGTGTAACTGACCTTATTCAGACTGAAGAGTTACCTAGCAATTATATGGTAACTCCCCAAAATGTCTGTGCTTTAATGTATTTAGGTAACATTTCTTTGCGCAGAGAGGTAGTATTCTTGGTAGCACCATTAATTATCAGAAACCTTATGAGCTTTGGGAAAGCTGCTTGAGCAGAAGATGCAATTTGTAGGTCACCTAAGTGCAGTGTTTATTATTAGTTACCTATGATGATAATAAGGCATTAAGATTTAATGTTGTTTTTCTTCCTAACATTTCCAAAAGTTAAAAAAAAAAAAAAAAAAAAAAACGGACTCACTCTTCTTTATGAAACTTCTTTGATGTAGAATATACATCAGAGATGAAACTGCTCCAGTTGGGCAAAGTACATGTACCAGCGTATCCAGTGAGGTCTGGTGCTCATTAACATCTGCTGGGCACCTATATTTCATGACTGTTTTGCAGATGCCTTCTCCCATTAGCTAGAAGCATTTGCAGCTCAACTTTTTTTTTTTTTTTTTTTGGTAGCAAATGTTCCCTAAAAGATAATTTGTGTAGGGCAGCAGAGCCTTGCCATTGAGAAGGGAGGAGTCCATTGATAACCTGAAAATCCATCTGCTGTGATGATTTGCTACTCCTTTAGTGAATAAAGGATACCTAGTGAGGAGTATACTGCTGGTATTTAACTGCCTGTTTACTTACAATATTCTCTGCTATTTGATTTTTTAGGAGACAGCCCTGAAGCAAAGATATCTGGGTCAGAGAAAAAGTAGTTAAGGGCCATGCAAGCCAATCGCAGCCAACTACACAGTCCTCCAGGAACTGGAAGCAGTGAGGGTGCCTCAACCCCTCCGTGTGTCCACACAAGATTGACAGGAGAAGGTTCTTGTCTTCATTCTGGAGATGTTCATATCCAGATAAACTCTATACCTAAAGAACGTACAGAAAATCCAAGCTCCAGAAATGCAAGGTCAGGTGTCCATAGCTGCGCCCATGGATGTGTACACAGTCGCTTACGGAGTCATTCCCATAGTGAAGCAAGGCTGCCTGATGATACTGCTACAGAGTCTGGAGATCATGGTAGTAGCTCCTTCTCAGAACTCCGCTATCTCTTCAAGTGGTTGCAAAAAAGTCTTCCATATATTTTGATTCTGAGTGTCAAACTTGTTATGCAGCATATAACAGGTAGGGCATAATACAACACTGACTTGTTTTCATTCCTAAATTCAGTTAATTTTCTGTCATTATTGGTAATCTACTTAATGCATTCAGTTACTTACTTTCTGTTAGCTTTTAAAATTGTGTTTCCTTTTAATTTGTGTCATTGTTAGCTTAAGTAATCCTCTTTGATTTTTTTTTTCTTTCAATTAACTGGAACTTATTTTCTAACAGGAATTTCTCTTGGAATTGGGCTGCTAACAACTTTTATGTATGCAAACAAAAGCATTGTAAATCAGGTTTTTCTAAGAGTAAGTATAACAAGCAACTAAAACATTATTAACTGTTTCTCTCCATAGATTTTAGAGAAATAATTATGAGAGAAATAGGAAATAACTTTTGAAAGAAATAGGAAGTAATGGGATATACTGTAACATCCATGATATATTAAATTTGTTATCTAAATTACCTGAAATAAATTATCTCTCCTAATGCTGAACTACTTCACCTTACTTTCTTCCTAAGGAAAAAAAGTGAGTTAATGTTAAAGTAGAAAAAATGATTAAAAGAGTTAGAACACGCTGTTTGATCTGATTTACCAACTCCCTTCAGGTTTTATGAGTTCATTTGACCATACTAAGTAATATCATTAAAAACTTTTATGATATTGGCCGGGCATGGTTGCTTGCACCTGTAATCAGAGCACTCTGGGAAATCGAGGTGGATGGATCACAAGGTCAAGAGATCAAGACCATCCTGGCTAACACAGTGGAACCCCCTCTCTACTAAAATTACAAAATATTAGCCAGATGTGGTGACACGCACCTGTAGTCCCAGCTACTCCAGAAGTTGAGGCAGGAGAAGAGCTTGAACTCGGGAGGCGGAGGTTGCAGTGAGCTGAGATCATGCCACTGCAGTCTAGCCTGGACAACAGAGCAAGACTCTGCCCCCCACCCCAAAAAAAAAAAAAAAGATCTCAGCCAGGCACAGTGGCTCACACCTGTAATCCCATTACTTCAGGAGTCCTAGGTGGGCAGATCACTGGAGGTCAGGAGTTCAAGACCAGCATGGCCAACATGGCAAAAACCCATCTCTACTAAAAATACAAAAATTAGCAGAGTGTGGTAGCATTTGCCTGTAGTCCCAGATACTTTGGGAGGCTGAGGCAGGAGAATTGCTTGAATCTAGGACAAGGAGGTTGCAGTGAGCCAAGATTGTGTCGCTGCACTCCAGCCTGGGTGACAGAGTGAGACTCCATCTCAAAAAAAAAAAAAGAAAATTAAACCCAAGGAATTTTTCTGTAACATAAATTACACAAGCCCTAGTCTTACAAATCATTGGGAAAAATAGAATGTTTATAAAATTTCACCTTAAAAGGTGAACTTTAAAAGGCTATTTCTGTTTAAAGTATCATGAATTCTGACCTGGAAATACATAGTTAAGCCTGTCTAACTAGAAAAATCTTACTTATTTAAAATTCATAAAACTTTTCATTAAACTTGACTTTAAAAGTGAGATTACAGGCAAGGCACAGTGGCTCATGCCTGTAATTGCAGCACTTTGGGAGGCCTAGATGGGCAGATTCCTTGAGCCCAGGAATTGGAGACCAGCCTGGGCAACATGGCAAAACCCCCATCTTTACAAAAAACACAAAAAATGAGCTGGGTGTGGTGGCACATGCCCGTAATCCCTGCTATCTGGGAGGCTGAGGTGAGAGGATTGCTTGAGCCCAGGTGGTTGAGGCTGCAGTGAGTCATGATCATGCCACTGCACTCCAGTCTGGGTGAACAAGCAAGACACTGTTTCCCCCCAACCCCCACCAAATAAAAAAAAAAACGGAGATTACAACTACTTGGGAGGCTGAGTTGAGAAGACTGCTTGAGCCTAACAGTTCTGGGCAATGTGGCGAGACCCCATATTTTAAAAAAAAGTGAGATTAAAACATAAATTTATTAAATTATTATAATCTGAGAATTTAAAAAGTAAAAAAATATAAACCTTGACAAGTGAGTCAAAGTTAAAATACATTTTGAAATTTTTCTTGTGGGTTGGTCTTTTTTTTTTTTTTTGAGATGGAGCTTCGCTCTGTCACCCAGGCTGCAGTGCAGTGGTGCGATCTCAGTTCACTGCAAACTCTGCCTCCCAGGTTCCAGAGATTATTGCGCCTCAGCCTCCTGAGTAAGCGGGATTACAGGCACGTGCCATGGCGCCCAGCTAACTTTTGTATTTTTTTTTTTAGTAGAGATGGGGTTACACCATGTTGGCCAAGCTGGTCTCGAACTCCTGACCTCAAGTGATCCCCCTGCCTCGGCCTTCCAAAGTGCTGGGATTACAGGTGTGAGCCACTCCACCCAGCCTGGGTGGATTATGTCAGCTTGTAAAAGACCTGGCAGCTTTATTTATTTATTATTTTTTTTTTTTAAGAGAAGACTTTGCTTCTTTGAAACATAGGTAATGTTTTTCATACAGTGAAGAAATTTGCATTTTAAAAATTTGTTTAATATAAGAGTTCTGTTTGTCATTAAAGTCATATAAAACAAAGTAACTGATGATTATGTACACTGTAACAGATACTCTATATTAAGATTAATTTAGAAAAATGGTCTAAGTTAATAGTCATTAAAGTAAAACAGTTTAATGATATTTAAAATTCTGGCAAAATCAAAGTAACATTATAAAATTGTTTATTTTTCAGGAAAGGTCCTCAAAGACTCAGTGTGCTTGGTTACTGGTATTCTTAGCAGGATCTTCTGTTCTTTTATATTACACCTTTCATTCTCAATCACTTTATTACAGGTAATTAGAGGTCCAAATACACAAGTTACATTTTTAATGTAATCATGTATTTCATAGCACTTTGTATCTTACTTCACATAGTACTTACTGTATTTAATTCAGTTCTGTTTTTAACTATCTCCTTTCATAATCGAGAGCTTTTTTTTTTTTGAGACAGAGTCTCGCTCTGTCGCCCAGGCTGGAGTGCAGTGGCTTGATCTTGGCTCACTGCAACCTCCCATCTCAGCTTCAAGCAATTCTCCCATCTAAGCTTCCCAAGCGGCTGGGATTACAGGCACACACCACTATGCCCAGTTAATTTTTGTGTTTTTAGTAGAGACGGGGGTTTTGCCATGTTGGCCAGGCTGGTCTCAAACTCCTGACCTCAGGTGCTCCGCCTGCCTCGGCCTCCCAAAGTACTGGGATTATAGGTGTCAGCCACTGTGCCCGGCCTCATAAGCGAGAGCTCTAAGTGGCTTATTCAGATTTTGTATCCCCAGTGCCTTGGCACGTAGCAGATGCTCAATAAATATTTAATTTTTGATATCTGAATTTTTGTTTCTATATTCCATATTTATTAAGTACCATTAGGTTGTTACTGTTGGTCTTTGTTTCTGAAAGTAAGAACACTTACTAAATGAAAGTAGCTGCAAAGTTTCCATGTCAAATGGGAATATTCTGAATTTTCAGCTTTTATCAGAATATTAGAAGACCTGGTTTCACTGGAGTTGAAGAGATGGGCAAATCTGGGATATAGTTTGGAGGTGGAGCCAGTATTCCTCAGATGGACTGGATTGGGTAGGTGGGTAGAGAGAAGCAAGAATGACCTCTGGGTTTTTAGTCTAAGTGGCTGGATGGTGGTGTCATTTCATTGGGTTGAAAAAGAAACTGATTTTGAGGGGAAAATCAATAATTTTGTTTTGAACATGTTAACTTTGAGAAGCTAAGTTGAATTAATAAGAAAGTGGTTCCAAATATATGTCATGACTCAGGGTAGAGCTTAGGGCTATAAATTTTGGTATCAGGAGCATATGATTGATATTTAAAAACCACAGGATTGGACAGACTAACCCAGGAAAGAAAGAGTAAAGGTAGAGAGCTCAGTACTGGACATGACTACAATTAGAAGAGAAACAGCAAAGGAGACTAAGAAGAAACCAGCAGTGAAGTATGAGAAATTTGAGTGTGGTGTTAAAAGTCTAGAAAGAAAATTATTCAGAGAGGGAAGACCGAAAAAGAGAAGCGACCTTGAAATTCAGCAAGACAGAGGGAGTTGATGGTCTTGACAAGCAATTCATTGAAAGGAACAGATGAAATCCTGATTGGAATTGGTCAAGAAAATCATGGCAGATGTTTGGTATTGAGGTGTTTTTTTTTTCCATTTACAGGCTAGAAAGGTGTCAACTATGACAAACTATGAAGACTTTTTCCTTATTCTATGAAGGGAAAATCTAAAACCCAAACATTTTAAGTCTCTTTAAGCAAAATGATCCTCCATTCCATTAATGTGAACTATGACATCCTGCCAAACTCGTATTTTTTACATATCAAAATAAAATATTTGTAACAAATTCAAACCCTTTATTAGTACTGTACCTTTATGCTGCTCTGATAAATTTTGATGTTTTTCTCTTGGTAGTTTAATTTTTTTAAATCCTACTTTGGACCATTTGAGCTTCTGGGAAGTACTTTGGATTGTTGGAATTACAGACTTCATTCTGAAATTCTTTTTCATGGGCTTAAAATGCCTTATTTTATTGGTGCCTTCTTTCATCATGCCTTTTAAATCTAAGGTAAGAAACTAACTTATGCTTTATTGGAGTGATGTTAATGAATCACATTAATGCTATTTAGTCTTTGTTTAAATGAATCCTCGTTTTGCAGTTTGCTAACTACCTTTAATTATCTGTATTATTTCAGCCTGGCAACCATTTGTTTAAGCATTTGAACCTGAATATTAACCTATTTGAATAAAATCAGAATTATATTTGCTTCAGAATAATTTTAAAATCAGTCCCCACCTCATATATGGGAAACTATTTAGATTTGTACTTCTTTTCTCCAGGGCATTATCAATTGACAGTTTACTATATATAATTATTCAGTGGCTTCTCCTACACAATAAAGACTTTAAAATTTTTATAATCAGCAAAAACATACATAGGTTTTACTTGCAGTATACATAAAGCATTTTCACTATATCATTCTTTAGAAATTCTATTTATTTATTTAGAAATGGACTCCCACTCTTGTTGCTCAGGCTGGAGTGCAATGATGTGATCTCAGCTTACTGCAACCTTCATCTCCCAGGTTCACGGGATTCTCCTGCCTCAGCCTCCCAAGTAGCTGGGATTACAGGCGCCTACCACCACACCCAGCTAATTTTTTATTTTTGGTAGAAATGGCATTTCACCTTGTTGTTCAGGCTGGTCTCAAACGCCTGACTTCAGGTGATCCACCCACCTCAACCTCCCAAAGTGCTGGGATTACAGGTGTGAGCCACCATGTCTGGCCTAGAAATTCTTTGAAAGCAGACCACTCAGTGACTGTGAGAACCAGTTTGAGGGTTTAGTCATAATCATAATCATTATAAAGATTAATATTATTTATATTGTGTCATATACTCTCAGTGTTCTTAGTCCAGTATTGTTTGTGCTATGTAGTTTGGGTAGCTCTATTTGTTTTCTTTTTTCTTATTTTTTAGGGTTACTGGTATATGCTTTTAGAAGAATTATGTCAATACTACCGAACTTTTGTTCCCATACCAGTTTGGTTTCGATACCTTATAAGCTATGGGGAGTTTGGTAATGTAACTAGATGGAGTCTTGGGATATTGCTGGCTTTACTCTACCTCATACTAAAAGTAGGTAACATTACAAATCTTGTCACTGCAAGATTCATATTAATGATTACTGACAATATACTATTTTCCTCTTTAACAGTTTTATAGTTTATCTTCGTATCACTAGTTTGAAGTAATGGAAGGTTCTATAGCTATTTAGAAATGGGAGAAACGGAAATTATCTAATCCAGCGGTCCTCAGTTTTCATTGGAGGGAAGGAGAGCAGACTTTTGCATAGTGTGGATTATCTAAGTAGGGAAAACAAGTGGAACAGAACATACCCATCCTCAATAGTAACATTTATCATACACTTAATTCTTAAACTAGTGGAGTATCTTGTTCTGTTCTCTCCATGCCTGTGCTCCTCAACCTAATAATCACTTTATGAAACTTTAAAATCTAAATGTTAAAAACATGTTAATCAGATAAAATTGCTTTGACTTTGACATACTTAAGTTTGTATTTGTCTTGATCAAATTGTTACTCTAGGTGTTTAAAGGTACTTCAGCTTGAGTTGGCTCAAATCTATAAATTGAATAAAATATTCATAGAATGATTAGTTTTGACATATAATGAGCATTACGTTAATATGAGGATTTGATGTTACGGGATTTCTGCTTTGGTTTTTGTGTTTAGCAGATAGGACTGTTTGAATTAATAAATGATCTCTTATTTCCCTTTTCAGCTTTTGGAATTTTGGGGGCATCTGAGAACTTTCAGACAGGTTTTACGAATTTTTTTTACACGACCGGTAAGTACTTTTTATCAGTTGAGAAAAACACTTTCACCTTTCTTCATTACAAATATTTTTTTAGTTCAACAGTTTTACAAGAATGGATTTCATAAAGAAATGATCCTTTTCTTTTACTTTGATTATTTTCTAGTATTTTGGCACTTGGGGGCTATAATGATTTAGGATCAGTTTGTTGAATGACACATTGACAACCACCTGCTAATTATTGCAGTACTTATATATTTGAACTTGTCTCTTGCCCCTTCAACCCATTTGACATTTTTAAGGGCCTGCAAACCCTTCAAAATCTTAGGAAGTTTTGTTTCTCTTTTTTAATCCACAAATTGGGGCTTTGTGTGTTCCCATTAATTCCTTATTCAGCTGTTAAAATCCTTCCACTGTAATTTACTGTGTATGTTTAAAAAGCTCATTGCCAAAAATCATGTCTTCTGCAGTTTTCTTACTGGAGCAGATTTCCCCATTGCTCCATTCTATGTGCACAAATACGTTCATGGCATGAAATTTAACAATTAATTGAGACTCTGGTGTCATATGCAACATTATTATGTGATTCTATTGACGTTACAAATTGCAGTGAAAGGATGTCATAGAGAACCTTAATTTACTACTTAGTAGCCTCAAAGGTTTCCAGTAGCTACGTATTGTCACTAGATTTCAAGGTTTGATGCTCAACTTTGCAGGTCATTTCATCAGGGTTCAGGAAGACTGACTTAAAAGAATGCCAACCTAATAAAATACCATTAAAAATAGAAAAAGCGTTATGTCTACAAAGTAAATCATACTAACTGGCCAGTGCATCTTTTCCCTAAGATAGAGTTAGCAATGTAGAAACAAACTGTGCAACATCCTATTCAAGCTTCTTTCTCTAGATAAGATATAATAAAATTCAGAGTTCAGCTTTGTCCAAGTCAATTCAGTTGATGATTATGTGAGCATCGACCATTTTACGATAATTGGTCATGTAAGATTTGTGCTGAAATGCTCTCAAGAAAATATCCTGATATTCTTTCTCTGAGACAAACTATAGAGAGGATATCAGTTATCAATACTTTGATTTGTTCAATTCTGTTTTACCAGGGAAATGGCAGTTACTATCAGGGTAAGTCTTCATGTTGAGGGAGTCTCCAAGATGCCAGATGAGTAATGTTTTAAAAGCTTGTCAGCATAATTATCTGCAAATGTACTTTGCTAAATGCCACCTTACTAAAGGAAAATTGACATCAAAATCTTGTAAGAGTATCCTGACTTGTTTCTGAAATCTTTATCACCAGTCTCAAAAACCTTAATTTTTAATATCTTTATCCTTTAAGCTTTACTTTGATTTTGTTAACCTGAGACATTTTAGTATAAAAACTTGTACAAGAATTTGTAACATTCTGATTTTTCCAAATTTCACTGAGGGTTATTAACATCACATCTGGTTAATGACTCAGTTCTGAATCTGGTGAGGAAGTTAAAATCTTAACGAGATCAGAGACTTTTTATTAGGACATTAGAAGAGAAGAAAATTCAAATAATTTCATTATTGTTCAGTTAGTTTTGATAGTAATTATTCTACCCAAGTGACATTTACAGTTGCAGTTTCTCTGTAAAACTTTATCATTCATGCTTAGCACTAAATGCATTTTATGATTATCATGAATAATAATTTTTAGACCTAGTGGCAGAACATTCTTCAGTGGTCACTAAGTCTTCTTCATATTGTACTCACTTGGCGACCTTTCATATAGATGACTGGGTCACATTCCAGTATGTCTGGTCCTACTGAATCTATATTGTGTGTAAAACAGAGAAATCTATTTTTAAAGCAAGCTTTCCACGAGTTACATTCAGCCAGCCAAGCTCTGACTAGATTGACTTTATGAACCACTGCCGCAGGTAATAAGTGAGCTCAATTTGACAGTCCTGCGTTAAATACATGGCTATAGATTTTATAATAGTTGTATTTCAGATTGCTTAGTCTCTTAAGTCAGTTATGTTGAATCTGAAGCACTGTCATCCTTTGGAAAGCTAGTAGATCTAACAGTCTTCCAAGATTCTATTTATTATTTAATTATTTCATCTTGGTGCACTCAAGAGGTGGTTCTGTATATGTGATTCAGCTTTGAAATCTTTGTATCCTTTGAGAAGGTTTTCAAATGCCTGGTTCCAGGGAGATTTGAGAAGTACAGCATTACTTATTTGAGGAACAGGAAAGAAAGAAATTTGTAGATGAACAGAACTTATTATCTTCATAGAGTTACGGAGTGGCTGCCAGCAAGAGACAGTGTTCAGATGTGGATGATATTTGTTCAATATGTCAAGCTGAATTTCAGAAGCCAATTCTTCTCATCTGTCAGGTAATTATATTTTTTAATTTAAAAACCTAATTACAACGCTTCTCTGTGACTTGCAAAAGTCACATTTACGTTATAAGGCGCACACACAAAAAAATCTAGTGAAAGGTAGCATTCAGGATACATACTAGTAATTTATTCATGATCAGGGGATTGGTGGATTGGCTAAGTTTTGTCCTTTATGTACTGATGACTTTTATGCAGAGGAGTGTATGAAGGGGAAAAAATAATTCAACTGACAGATTGGATACCAAGGTGATTAAAAAACAGGCTATTTTTAGAATTGGATACTAGCCATTTAGAATACCAACATTTGTTGCTGGATTGTGTAAGGCCCTTTACTGTACTTTATGGCGGTTATTAGTAACTCAAAAGACTTTATGCTGTTATCATATGTAATATTAAAGGATCACACCTAGGGATAGTTTTTATGGTTAAATGGATAGTACCGCCAGAACAATAGTGGCTTTACTACTCACACTGTTCTTTGTTTTCTTGAATGTGTCATACTGTCTCCATTTTCCCATTTGTAAAGTGAGGGGATTAGTACTCTTCAAAATCCCTTTCAGGCTGAGTGCAGTGGCTCATGCCTAGTAATCCCAGAATTTTGAGATGCCAAGGTGGGCGGATCACTGGAGGTCAGCAGTTTGAGACCAGTCTGACCAACATGGTGAAACCCTGTCTCTACTAAAAATACAAAAATTTGCTGGGCATGGTGTGGTGGGCACCTGTGATCCCAGCAATTGAAGAGGCTGAGGCAGGAGAATCGCTTGAACCCAGGAGGCAGAGGTTGCAGTGAGCCAAGATCGCGCCGTTGCACTCTGGCCTGAGTAACAAAGCAAGTCTCCATCAAAAAAATAGAAAGAAAAGAAAAGAAAAAATCCCTTTTATTCCCTATAATGTCATGAATTTAAAATGCGTATCAAGTATAAAACCTAATTCTTCATTCCATTACAGCATATATTTTGTGAAGAGTGCATTACCTTATGGTTTAACAGAGAGAAAACATGTCCACTGTGCAGAACTCTGATTTCAGATCATATAAACAAATGGAAAGATGGAGCCACTTCATCACACCTTCAAATATATTAAGTTGTATAAACTATTAAGGCCACAAAATACTAATGTCATTTGGTCATAATGACTACTGATTAAGGCATCAAAATGGATTTTCAGGGCTACAAGAAAAATGTTTCTCAGTGGTTTTAGAATGTAAGACTTATGGTCCAATTCATCAAAAGATTAAATGAAAGAACCCTGTGTTTTAAAATATATATATAATGTTCAATCTAATGTACATGCAACATTCTAATTATTTGACAGTGTTAAATTGTAAATGTGTTTTCTTAATGTTAACAAAACCACAATTTGTAGAACTGGTGGTTTTAGAGAACTCAGGTATTCTTTCCCGACATTGTTTTCAGAATACAGAGTATTTTTCATAGTATTTTAAGACACATATCAGAAAGAATTTTGTTCAGCATTGACTTTTATAATTCCCATAGTAAAAATTCTTAATATTTTCATAAAATTTGTATTTTAAAATGAAAGTTCTAAATGTTATATTTTATCAGTAACAGATTTTTCTAAGATTACTGAGGATGATACATTTTCTCTGTAGTATGACCAGAATCAGTGAAAATAAATGATATAAATTCATTTTGTCTATGGACCTCATAAATTCTTCTATCATCAGCTTTAATGCTCATGATCATGCTTTTTGTATAGTACCATGGAGTATCTTGAAGTAACTATTAAAATAATTCATGTGGATTATAAACAGCTGGCTCACTTGATGATTTGAATAATACAGAAAACAAGACAAGACCAGGCGCGGTGGCTCACTAATCCCAGCGCTTTGGAAGGCCAAGGCAGAGAGATCACGAGGTCAGGAGATCGAGACCATCCTGGCTAACACAGTAAAACCCCATCTCTACTAAAAATACAAAAAATTAGCTGGATGTGGTGGCACACACCTGGAGTCCCAGCTACTCCCGAGGCTGAGGCAAGAGAATCACCTGAACCCAGGAGGGAGAGGTTGCAGTGAGCCCAGATCACACCACTGCACTCCGGCCTGGGTGATGGAGTCAGACTTCATCTCAAAAAAAATAAATAAATGGCTAGACATGGTGGCTCACGCCTGTAATACCAGCACTTTGGGAGGCAGAGGCAGGAGGACTGCTTGAGGCCAGGAGTTCAGGACCAGCCTGGGCAATTTAGCAAGACCCTATCTCTATTAAAGAAAAAAGTTTCAAGACAGATGCCCTAAAATCTTAGAAAAGAATTGCCTTTATAGTTAGTCTTCTCCATAAAAGTTTTGGAATTTTATGCTTGAATCACGATCAATTGGAAGATTAAAGCTTGCGCTGAGAGGCCAACATGAGGTTTTGATAGTGTGGTTTATTCTCCTCTAAGGTGTCTGAAGGGCTGCTACGGGTTATATCTAAGTTTAGAATCATCTGTCAGTTTGTAGTCAAGGAAAAGATGATAGAAAGGAGAACTGAGGACACAGAGGTAGGAAACAGATTTGCTGTACTGATAAGACAAAAGTTAAATCAGCACATGGATTAATAAGGATACTGACCAACTGGCTACAGAAGTCACTTTCATGACTGTATGGCCATCCAAATTGACAAAAGAACATTTGGAAGTCTACACCTTTTTTACTCCAGGTAAATACTATCAGGTTGTAAATACACTATATTCAATTACAATATATTTCACTCTATTATCTACTTTGAGAACCACTACAAGTATTTAAATGGCTTTGTGGTGATGCTGATAGTTCTATTATTTAGGTATATAGCAGAGGATGGGTGAGAGAAGCAATTTGGGATTACAACTTGGCCGTGAAGGGACAGCCAGGATGACTTCCTGTTCAAAACACAAGAACAGCATTTTCTTTTTTTTTTTTTTTTTTTCTTTTTTTGAGACGGAGTTTCGCTCTTGTTACCCAGGCTGGAGTGCAATGGCGCGATCTCGGCTCACCGCAACCTCCGCCTCCTGGGTTCAGGCAATTCTCCTGCCTCAGCCTCCTGAGTAGCTGGGATTACAGGCACGCGCCACCATGCCCAGCTAGTTTTTTGTATTTTTAGTAGAGACGGGGTTTCACCATGTTGACCAGGATGGTCTCGATCTCTTGACCTCGTGATCCACCCGCCTCGGCCTCCCAAAGTGCTGGGATTACAGGCTTGAGCCACCGCGCCCGGCCAAGAACAGCATTTTCTTCAGCCCTATGACAATACCTATGTAATACATTTGTGCACCCTGTAACTATTCAGACTGCACTGTTTCTTAATGTGATTAAATAACCAAGGAGGTGCATGGTGGGGTTTTTTTGGAATGCAGTTTACCTATAAACTGAAAAAGGAGAAAATCTAATGGAGCTATGCCATCCACTGACAATGCTGATGAACTGCAAGCATTTCTTCCATCCTTCTATTCCTTCACCTCAAAAAAAGGTAGTATAGATTCAGAAACCCATTTACTCTTTGAATTCAGATCATGACTTCTAAAAGATTGTTTTACCAGTATTGCTACACTGCTAGGTTGTATAGCAAAGTCAAGTCAGTTTGAGAACTTCCGTAGAGAAATCCCCTTGGCAAGTATAATACAATTACCTTACAGATAAGAAGTGGTTCATAGAAATTAACCCAGATTACACTAGATATATTGAGACATTAGTTAAAACAGATTTGTTCACCACATTATTTAGTGCATACACATCAAATTATCAAATGTAGCTGACCAAGTGTAGCTGAACACATTGTTGATTGTTAGCACAAGGTCTTCCTAGAGTTTTTTATGAAGCTAGTTTTCCCGTAGGTTGTTACATGCATTTTTTTTAAGTAAACAATTCATATCTACTATCTGATATAACTTGAAAATCAAAGATGTATAACATCTAACATAAAAATCAATACTAAAACTTGTTACATACTTAAATAGCTTCCATTTCTCAGTAGAACAGCTTTTAACCCATTCCTTACAGTTTATTAAATATGACAACTTGAACACATGTGACATGTTAATTTAAAAAATTATTTAAACCATTTATATACCTGATATGTATACTACTTTATTTCTTCCTATCTTAGGATAGTAAAAAAAATAAATCACTTCTATTTTATGTTCATTCAAATTTGCATTTAATTTCTATTTACATTCATTCAATCCGAAATCAAATAATACAGTAAACTAAATACAAGATGAAAAGCAGAAAAGGTGTTACCCTCATAGCACTCCTAATAAGGCAGCTGAAGAATTTTATTTACTGATAGATGCAAAGCCAACTTGGGAGAGGAGAAACAATAGTTTAAAGAGCAAACACAAACATAGATGAACCCATCTTTCAGATGTTATTCCAGATAATCCACTGAGATAATACGTGTGCTATAATGTTAAGAATCACACAAGAAAAAGTACTGTATTAATCGGCAACAGACCACAGGTTATGTGTGACAAATACTTTTATGACAGTTTGTCCAGCTTGCTAGTGTCTACTCCTAAGAAAAAAGGTAGATGTTTGGACATTGATGTTTTTGAGAAATTAACCATTTTCAAAGCCTCAAAATCTCTTCTTCATAAATTCAACATTTCTCATGGGAATAATCTTAGATCTAGCCCTTGTAAGCTAGGAACCCTATGATTAACTGCATATTGAAAATAGGTCCTATATTAAATATATAATCCAAGGCTCAGTATATTAATACTATCTAAGATGCATCTTGTTTATAATCATTTATTACCTATAGTAAAGAATGTTGAATTTATGGAGTATCATACATGCATCCTTCACCCCTCCCCTCAAATTATCTTCTATCTCAAAAAATAGTATGGAAAAATCCTTCCTGAAGGATTCAAATTAGTTAAGACCATAATAGGGGGAAAAAAACTAATTTTCCTAAAAATCTGGTTCAAGTTCAATAATTAATACTTTTACATTGTTAATCACAGCTGGTTTATAAATCCCAGTTTAGTTATTCTGTAATGCTACAAACCTTATAAAATCAAATTAGTAAACTTCAATTCAGTGATATTTTAATTAAAAAACAGCATGTATAAAATAAAAAAATATCCTGTAATAGCGATTTTAAAGAAAATAAGTGATGAAAAAAAAGCACTTAATCTCTTTTATACACTTACCTGGTATAATCATAAAGAACCCTCTTAGAAACTCAAGACTAGTAATATTGACATATTTTAAACTATGCTTGGATTTTTACAAATAAATATAGATAAGCCATATTGCATAGGTGTGTGCTTTCTGTCTGTGACACTAATGTGACACTTGACATGTTTTCACAGTCATAGTAGGGATATCCATTTATGAAACAAGTTCTCAATAAATTTTCCACAGCACGGTAAATAAATTTTACTTAGTAAATGTGAAGTCAGAAAAACTGTGTATTTGTGTGGATGGTAGCTGTGCAATTAATGCTTTTTATGCAGAAAAGTTGCAGTGTTTGCCACTATTGCTGGCAGTACTAATTATGAAAACGGTTTAACTGGGGTGGTTGTAGCCAGCCAATCACAGTGCGCATGTTACAAGCAAATAGGACCAAGGAGGAATATTTTGGTGTATAAGTTTCACTGGAATTTGGTCAGGCAGTCAACACTACAGTTAGTAAACATATTTGAAAACAAGTATCAGAGTATCACAAGCCACTTACAGTCTGAAATAATGCCTGTGCATATCACCATAGCTTTTTGGGTTCTGTTTTTTCAGACATCACATTGTCAGAGAACAAGGATCTGCACTTTAATTTCTGCCCTTTATTATTATTGTAGCTTCTAATTTACCAGCTACAGTCATAAAGTTCTCAGTAGGCTGCTGCAATAAGGGAGCAGTGGGAAAGAGGGAGTAATTTTTTTTAAAAAAAGGCTTTTTGTCCAAAGATGAACTTTTATCGATTTTTTTCAATTATTGCCACAATTGAAACAGTATATTTCCAATCATTTTACATGGTTCTGTTTTTGCTTAGTGTCATAGGATTTCATCCCATCTCATTTGAGTTGCAATTTAAAAAAGCAAAGCCTTGCTCTTTTCTGACTGAATTCAATATGCATAAAGAATTTTATGGCTTGGATCCTATGGCTCAAAAAGGTTTGAAAACATAGCAAGCAGCATCTATTTAAAAAAATCCTAGGGTTGCAAAATATTACAAATTGACTTTGCACACTCGGACTGAAGACATTATAAAAGACAAACAAAAAGAGGTGATAAAACTCAACTGTAACTGCATGATCATCTATTATACCAGTATGCACTGAAATATATTTTTATAAAGCTCTGCAGATATTAAACCTTTTCACCAGCTAAAGTCATGGAAATGCTCTCTTTAAGGCAGGAAATATTTAAGAAAGGTAAAGTTACCTTTATTTTTATTCTTTGACCTGTAAATCTTTTACGTTGATTTTGTTAGAATTTCAAAAACAGTGTCCTGTTAACATGTTTGCTAAATTAAGCCACTAAGTTTTCTTATTTACTGTGGAAGACATTCATCAAAAGGCCATCAAATATTTTTACAATCAAAAAGTGTAGCCCCAGTACAGGCGGAAAAAAAAAATAGACCTTTTTTTAAAAACTGTTGAGAACAAAAATATAATGAAGTAGACAGCAGAAATAGTAGAAAGTAAAACTGAAAATCTTACCAATTTGCTGTAAAGAGATTAGACAGAGAGTGGGCCATAGCAACACCCTCTTCCCCTGATATCCCTATCTCCCTCTCTTCTGTTCTTCAGCCATGAGCTGAACACATTTGGCGTCTTGAACCAAAT